TGTCTTTTAACTCATCACTAGCTATCTGTATTGGCACAGTCTCACATGAAAGTATAAAATATCAATCACGCTGCCAAAAATGTTCATAAAGATGGTTTTCTTTGGCAGATTATGCATTTCAGTGAGAGCATCAGCAACCTTGTTTGAATCTGTGAACATATCAGTTTCCTTGTTCCCATCTCCAAAATGTCATTTGCTCTTTCAATCTAGCTGACAACATACACTAGGAATCCTTCCCCTCAGATAGTGCACCACCAAAGCAGTCCCTGTGGACCTGTAGTTGTTCACAGTTAGAAAAATCCCCACATGTTCCAGTGCCTTTCATTATTATATTAGCTAAGTTAGCTGACTAACCTGATGCCAAAAAAAATAGCCAGAGCCTTCTCTGTGTAGGACTCCCACTGGTGCTAGCACATATTGAGTAAAATTCCCAGTCATAGAGAATGAAAAGGGTTGAACGTCCAGTATATCCTCCACAAACTAGCTTAAAACACCAGGTACTGCTCCTGCAATGACCTCTCCACAGAGTGGCCCAATGATGTGAACCACACAGGTTTATAAAAGTCCAAAGGATAAATATTTATGAGATTTGCCTCCTTTTATACAGTTTGGTAGTTGCCTTTTGGTCTTTCTGGAGAGAACTTGAAGTAAATATAAACTATAAATCTACAGAGGGAAGCATAGTATACTGCTAAACATAATTAAGGTAAAATGTCAAGAAGTAAAAAAAATTATATACTGTCTTGATACACTTATGAAAGCACTCTCTGGTACCAGAAAAGTAAAACCCCCTTTATTTCTGATACTTCATTATAAATATTAATTCACAACTCAAAGTGATAGCATACTTCAGGACAAGGTGTCACTGGTTCTTAAACCACCTTTCAGATAAAAGCATAATCATGTTTCAGCATGTTTGTTATCAGAAAACCTTGCTCCAGAACTCAGAAATACTCTACAGGCTTATACAGATCTCATAAAAACACAGCTTCTTGACATACACAATTGCAAAAGCAGTTTTGTTACAGCAGTCGCTTCCATACCAATAGTTTGCTGGTCAGATCCGATTCTGATTCACCTTAGTGTGCCAATATCAAAGCTGAAATAATTGATCAAGAAAAACATGATTTTTCTGAAATCAAGGGAAGATTTCTATGAAATAGAGAGAAGTGTAATGAATGCCAGTGGAGGGCAGGTAACATTATTTTTATAATTCACTTTTATATTTTGTATCAAGATATGCTGCATTTTCTGATTCAAACTGCAGGTCTATTTAAGAAATGTGAATTGCTGTAGGTGCTTTTTACATGTCAAAATGAGAACTTCATACGGTGTATCCATTATATGTACTTTTTTATTTAGGACTTCTGGTTCAAAAAGCCTACTGCACAAAATTTTGTTTCTGATCTTAGTTACATGCTTAAGAGGTCTGTACATAGTACCTGCAAAACCACAGAGGTTCCACTGATATATTTATGATGGTTGTTTTCCCTTTTTTTGCCCATGTGACCACAGGACCCAGAAGTGAGCTGGTCTGCAGGGGCAAACACTAGGTCTTTTCCAACCTAGATTCTGTGATTCTGTGAAACAGAACAAAAGGGGGAATCACCTGGGATCAACTGTTAAAAGGTAGTGTTGTGGGATGCGCAAACATCAGTGCCATTCAACTTACCATAACCCCATAACCAGCTAATTAGAAAGAGCTCAGGTCTGGAAGTACACAGAAAAATACGGAGATGGGCAAAATAAGCAAATAGGCAAGGACAAAATTAGAAGTTATTTAATGTTAATGGAGTCTCTTTAAACTCCTGTACCTTTAGTCAAATTCCTACACTTTCAGAAGGTTTCCCCGATTTCCCCCCTTAGTCACAGGCTCAAGTGGCTGTGCGAATGACGCTCCCCACAGCACAGCCCTTCCATGACTTTTGTTACCAGCACGGTTCTCATATTTTACCCTGGTCCCAGCATAGTTCCTCCAGGAGATGCAACATGCACTGCAGTGCTCTGTGCTCTATGAAAACCTCTGCGTAGCAATTAACTCCAACTTCCTCATCTAACCTCCCTTTCTTCATCCCAAAAGGGAGCATGGCTGGGCATACTTGACAGGTATGCTCTTGGCCACATAAGCTTGTTCTAGATGTTTCTGTAATATGTAAGTTTTTCCTATTCACAACCTTTTCATGTCTACCTGTATTCATCGAAGTGTATGTTGGAGCTGACACCAGTATAATGGGGTTTGTGGAATCTCTAGCTTTTTGCATCAATTTGGTCTAGTACAGCCTTATCTGTCAAATGCCTTATCTGTCACAAGAAGAGACCTTGCTTGCTTCAAAAGTACCTACATCTCAGAGCGGAGACAAAATGAAACCATTTTCTGGTAGATGGTACAAAGAACAGAGCAGCAATCTCTCTTCATTCCGTTTTGTCCTTTTCCTTGACTGGAGGACATTACACGCCTTACAAGGACAGTTCATTTCTCTGTAGAGATGTAAGGTCAGGGTGCATGTTCAAATGCAATTCCATCACAACGTTTTAGCTGCTAGTTCTCAACTGCTTGTCAACTGGTGCTCCTCTCCCTCTCTAGTCATTCACATAGCCATTGTTATGCTCCCTGTCAAAAACATCATTTTGATGGTTATATAAACAATGCTCAGACTTTCAATAAAGTCTAACACCCACGAAAAAGCAGCTCATTGTACACTTATTACTGTCACATACCAGAAACTGTCTTTTTTTAAAGCAAAAAATCATTGAAAAATTATTCTTCAGCCTTTCCTGTTCAGTGCTGCAGTAAAGGGCAGGACAAATATAGGATGATACTATAGGTGAAACAGCACCACATACCCTTAAAGTAATTATAAATCCATTTTTACATCTTACTATAAAATTTAAAAGAAAACTGTACTCTTAAGTCTCTACTAATGAGAAAAAGAATATTTTTAAACATCTACAATTTAAAGAAATTGTTTCTCAACTAGATGCGTGGCACATTTTCCAACAGAAGTTTCATAGGTTGAATGTAAAAATAGAAGTTATCATCTGTGGCTTTTTATTGATGAGAAAACACATTATTTTGAAGAATATGCTGTATTTTTCAACCACTGATCTTTGAAAAAGAGGCAGTAACATAAGTCTCTTCAGCAACATACTGCTAAATAAGTTTAAAATATTCAATTTTATATTATTTGAAGACCTTGGTATTTGCTTTCTTAAATGTGTTCACAGTATATCTATAAATTGTAAAAATGGATGAGTGGTATCTTCTACCCAAATGACATCTCAAACTTGATAGCGTTCACTCCTATGAAATAAACTGCTATTTATTATTTCTGCTACTGTAAACTGAAGTTTTCAGTCCTTTTGTCCTAAAGTACAAAAAACAGCGTGCCAACAATAAAAATCTGTTAAAAATCAGTTCCCTAAAATTAAGCCTCTTTTCTCTACAAAAGCTTTAGCAACGTATGTTATCACAGTACAATAAAAGCTAAAACAGAGCCATACCTTCAGTATGCACCACACATCCATAGAGCATTTAAGCACACAGGGCCATATCATAGCAGTGTATTCACTCTCCTAGAGACTAGATCTAGAGGAAAAGGGAGAATTGGAGTTAAGACAAATATACCTATGAATAGACATGACCAATTTATTCATTACACTCACAATTAAAAAAACAGCATTCTCCCGAACCAGCTACAGGACAAACTTCAGTAACTCTTTCCAGATTTTTTTATAAAGTTAAACAAATATCAATTCCAACCTGAATTTTTTAGCTTGAATTTGGTACCACTGATGTAAGGACTTAGGTTATCTGGTCCATTATCAAATTTCTGTTGTTTATAAATATTCAAAACTATGATCATACCACATCTGCCAGAGATTGCAGCCCTTTCACTGTAAGATATTTTCATTCTTTCTTTCATTCTTGTGACTTAATCCCCTTCTCTACTTTTTCTGATCTTTCTTGAATTGCTGACACTGAAGTACATGCACATCTAAATGTACCAGTACCAAATAAAAGGGAAACACACTACATTTCATAGACACAGACACATTTTTTGTTAAATACTCTGACCTACTATCTTCAAAGAAGATAGTTTAAGTTATTAGAAACATATATTTAGGTTACTATCCCTGAAGCCTACTAAAATCCTTTTCATAGAGGCCTTTCTACAAGACAGCTTCTTGTCTTCCTCTTCTCCAACTAGCCCTCTGAAGGCAAATTCTTTTGTACACTCATAATAAGTCACTTGTATAATAATACAAGTGAAAACTTATGGCACAATAAGATATAGTACAAGAAACACAAGACCCCTGATTTTGAAACTATGAAGATGGTAAGTCATCAACACTTTGCCTTTTTGCTTTTATATATATACAAAACATGTACATCCACAGATTACAGATAATTTGCTCTTTATATATGGAAAAATGGTTTGACAAATAGTAAAAACTATAAAGATTCCTGGTGTATGTTTGTCTAGTGTTACAGCTTCTAACTTCTGTTACACACTACAGTGAAAACCCAATCTGCTCGCAGATTTAAACCACAATTTACAAATTCTCTGCTCTGTTATCTGGGCTGAGAATAGCCTTTTCACAGTCAATGTAGGTCAGCTCCTCTGCAGCACTGCACCTCCTTTTGAAAACATTAATATATATTAGTGAAAATCCATCAACTAAGATACAAAACCCAAACTAAAAATCCAAACTTTACTCTGAGTAAAGCCCCAGTGCTTCTTCCTCAATTTCTGAAGTGCTGACCAGGTTGCCAACATCCCTGGGAGACATTCAAAAGCTGTCTGGACAGGGTCCTGTGCAGCCAGCTCTAGGTGGCCCTGCTTGAGCAGGGAGGTTAGACAAGATAACTTACAGAGGTCCCTCCAACGTCAAACATTCTGCGATTTTATACTATTTCTGTTTGTAAAGCTGACTTTCCCTAGTATCTAAAAAAATTGAGTTTAGCAATTAATAAATCAAGAAATAACTTACTGCAATTATCACACACAAAATCAAGTGTTTATTTACTATTTACAAGTATAAATACATTACTGCTACAAGTATTCTGTCATGTTCTTAATTATCATGGCACTTTGGATAAGGATAACTTATGCAAGTAAGACACCTTAGTTTTACTAGGCACCTGTGCAGTCACTGGTGTTTAACCAAAACAAATATAGGACACATAAGGGGTACCTTTCTGTAGTTCTATAAATCTTTAACATTAAAAGTGACTGTACATTGGATTTTTGTATTTTAGGACAGATACAACAGTTTATTTGGTCACTATTTTACAGCATCAACAACTTCTGGCTTTGCAGAGAACTTTTTTTTTTTTTGGTTCAAGTCAATTGGGGAGCCATTGCCAGCAGATACTGTTGATGATCTGAATTCCATCATTTCAGTTGCAAGACAACCTTCAAAAAGAAGAAAAGGAATGATATTAAAGTTGGATGACACCAAAACTTAAGTAGTCTAGGAAATGCAGCATTTTGCTTTCTGTTAGTGTAATATGCAACTGCACAAACATGTCTTTACTCTGGAAAATACACCCTCTCTCTCTCAGCTCTCTTTTAGAGCCTCACACAGCTATCACTTCCAATAACTTTCTTTAGAACTTACTGCATGAAAACCATTCCTCAGCTCCCTGTAATCAAAAAGCAGAATGGTAATTTCCAGACCCAGTGAGATTCCTTCTGCACAAAGAAGAACCAAGAGACCATTTCTAGAGTGAATTCCTCCTTGTGTGCAAATAATACCAAGTAAGGACATGACAACATCCCACAGCTTCCAAACAGACATTCAAGGAGAATAAGAGAAGTGTGGAGACTGCTGGAGTCCATCCCAGAAAAATCCTTGTTTGCACAGCACAGAGTTAATGACAAGCTACTATTTTTTGTTTAGTTTTGGAGGGAAAAATCCAGGGTAAAACAAGCTGCTAAGGGCTCTCATTTCACAGTAATACCACCTGTATCTGGACTAATGCATTTTCCTCACTGGGAACTGTGTAGTTATTCAGAGATCTCACAGCCTTGTTAAAGCAACTGGTAGACATAATCTTAGTGTCCTTTTTAATTCAAAATATTAACAGCACTATTATAACTTAATGTTTAACTCTGAGCTATAAATTTATCATTTTCAGTTACATACTGATGATTTTTTCTAAATGTTCATCTACAGATTCCAGCTATAGCATAACATTAAATATATCATCTATACAACCCCTTAGTTGCTAAATGTTATGAAGCAACTAGAAGCTGCTAACTTCTAAAACATGTTGATACAACACTTTCACATTCATGCTGCAAGATGTCAAAGAATTCCATCTCCCAAATAACAGATAATAAATATTTGAAGACATTTTCAGATTTAAAAAAAAAAAAACAAACAAAACAACAAAACCCCCACTTTCCTTTGTAACAGAGCCAGAATTAATCCTGAAAAGTAACTGAACAAGTAGGGACTCCAGGGTTTAGAGTTACCACTAGGGTTCAAATCAGATGACACTTCTTCCGCATGTAATTTTTCTTCTAATTCTTACTTCCCTTAGTCTTTTCTATTAAGAAATCTGAGAGACTCCAAATAAAGTTTCACTTGTAATTTTCTTCTTGGGCTACTGTATGGAAATCTTCCAACTTTTTTCCTGATTTACTATGACATGGAAATTAAGGCACTCAGCTTGAACCAAACAACTCTCCCATGTGCATTCCCAGCCACTGACATTTTGTGAATCCAGGGGAACACTGGAGTTCTCTCCAATCTTTCAAAATCAAAATCAACTCTCATCTGACACTTTGTCATTACATTTGCTTCATCTCCTATTCTCATAACACTTTCTAATGGTGGTGTGTGACTACAATGCTTATCAGGATTCTAATTACATTTTTAAAAAAATTCTAGACTAAACTGTGCTAAAAAAACTCCTGAAGCCTATCCAAGAGAGTCTGCCTTAAGTTAGGCTTTCTGTAACTCTATAGTTATTTTGCCAGTGAATGACTGACTTTGGGTTTTCAAGCAAGATACCCAGAACAAACAATTTCAGTTAAAATAAACTCAGTATATGAGAAGTCAGGAACAAATGATGGTATCAGAAAAAGCTACCTTATTAGCGGCTTCCAGTGCATTTATTAGGTTCTGCAACTCTTCCTTATTCATCTCTATAGAAATTGGCTTAATTTCACCATCTTCTCTCACATCCAAGTCAAGATTGAGAAGTGGCATTTGCAGCATGGAGATCTTATCACTGGAGAGAGCAAGCTATGCAGATTGATGAAACAACAGTGTAACGTGGAGCCATTATGATTTTAGTCTTTCATAGGATTACATCTGCACTTTATATTAAATGCATACTACCAAAACAATCATCAACATGACAAAAGTAGCTTCTTACAAGTCATCTCAAGTTTTTCGTTTTGCTTTTTTTTCCTCCCCATTGCTGGGATTTTTGTTTCTTAATACCAGCAATATACTTAAATAGTAAAACCCCCTCTTCATAGTAATACATTTATCAAGACAATTTGTTAAAATTACTGGGCTGCTATACTTTAGTATTCTAGGTGAAAAGAAAGGATACATTTGATCATGGCTCTTTAAAAGTGAAGTCTATGAAGTCACTATTCAAAGTTCTGGTAATCCACAAGAAAGGTCTTACAGAAGGGGCAGTTGGGAGAAAGAGGACACCTTTGTGCAGTTTTCAACTCCCTCTACAGCTGATCAAACACCATTTGTCAGATAGCCTAACTGACAAACACTGATGAAGAGGATTACATACCAATTGTGCTTTCTTTTTGTTTACTGTTATACTCACTTTAATATAAATAAGGCTTTTAAAATACATTAAAATAAAAGATTGTACATGCCTATCATTTATTTAGAAAGTAGAATGTGGTACAGCAGAGGAGAGAATGCCCTTGGTACAGTTCAACTATAGTAAGCAAAAAAAACCAACTTAAATCACAGCCAGCTCAAGAGGGTGTGGGGGGGGAAAGGTGGTTTAAAGCAAAATAGTTCAGACACGTACCAGAAATTTGTGTCACAAAATAGAAACTCCAGAATAAAAAGTTAAAAGAAACAACAAAACAAAGAGCTCACATAAGTCTAACAAACTTTTGTCAGCAGTAAATGCAGTTAGCATGAGATCAATCCCTAGTAATAGTTCATCTGAAGCACATTATGATACCATATTTGCTATTGCAAAATCTTCTCTATTGTGGGCATTGCTCTTTGATTTCCAAAGCTGTTTGCTGCCCAAATTATTTAACACTCTTGTTGAAATGGAAAACTAGTTAACAGCTCTACAAATCTGTTTAACAGCTCCCATGGACTAACTAAAAATATAAACAGTTGTAAAGAACATTGTTAAGTCTTTGATAGAGCTTAATTTAAAGCAACTGTCTTCATAACCCCAAAGCACCATCCAACTTTATGCAACACAGTTATTATCAAAATAAGTCTAAAGACAAATTATTTAAAACTAATTATTCAATAATTGTTTATTGCAGGAATCTAAAAAATTTGAAAAAAGTCAGGGAAACACATCCTGAATCAGTCTACTACTCTAAAATATTTCTTCTTCCTTTGAGTAAAAATACTATCTGTTCAGGCCTCAAAATCATAACAGCATACAAAACTTTCAGGTCTTCCTGAAAAATACTCAATCTCCTTTCAGGAAAGAGATAGGTATTGCAGCTTTAGAAGAAAGGAGAGGAAAAAAAAAAAAGAAAAAAAGAATAATTTTACTTTTACAGTTCATACAAATTTCTGACAAGTCTCTGATGTGTTGTCATGAATGTACTTTTCTGATACCTATAAAAATTAAACCATGCTCCAGGTTTAAGGAGCAGGCCTAAGGGGACTGTATCAATAGTTACTTCTGTGCCATGGAACACTTCTTTCAAAGAACATTAAGGCAACACTCTCACCTTTAACTGCCAGTCAAAATCCTGCAGCTGGGCAGAAGAGATTGCATTTACTCTTTCCACTAGCGCATTCCTGATTTCTTCCTTTCTGCCTTTTAGACATTTTGTGATTGCTTCTTGATAGTTTAAATTTAATTCATTTATCTGCTGAGCAGCCTACAAAAATAAAAATAGTAATTAAAATTATGAACCTCAGAAATAACATGTACTACCTGTAATAGTTGAGCTTCTACCCATATAGCTGTTATACTGGACTCCATAGTCTGATCTGTCTTACACTGCCTTCAGTGGCTGCTCTCTGACAGTATTTACCACAGAAACATATGAAGGAAAAAAAATAATTTCTTGTCATTTAAATTAAAAGACACAAGAGAATGGAGGCTTTATCTGCCTTCCTAGACACCACCCTAAAATCAAAACAGAAAAATCACACACAACACAGGTTTAGCTCTGTAAGTTTATAAATATCAGAGCAGAGACAAAATACATTAGTTTAGCTGAAACAGACATACTGATGTAAGGACCTTCCTATGGCTAACCAAGTATCTTTCTTCATCTAGCTACTAGCAGGTAGTCAAAATACAAGCACTGTGCAAAAGATGAGAATTAACATTTCTGATAATGGAAGAACAAGTTTTTGCAAAGTTCATACATACTGGAATGCTCTGAAATATAGTCACTGTTCCACATGGTCCTCCAGTCACAGTCTAGGTTTGGATCTACATACAGTCAGTATTTGAAAATACTTAAATGCAGTAGTAATGAACAAAGAAACCAAACAAGAGTGTGAACTGTTTTTCTGCTAAAGAACAGTAATGACAGGTTATGTATTTTAAGGAAAACAGACTTAATTTGGTGGTACTTCAATTTAAGTGGCTAAACCAGTATTTTAAAAAGTACTATCTAGTGCTAGTTAAAATAAGTGTCAATTTAACTTTTTCTTTTAAAAGCCTTTGCAGTGTATCTCTAAATGCTGCTCACCTTTTACCTATTTAGGCTTAGTCTGCTACTATTCAAATGCTACACTATAAAAATATTTCAGGACTTAATACACTACAAGATTAATCACTTCAGTATGATCTCTCAAAGTCAAGCCCAGTGATGAGCCCTTACCTCTTCATCAGATATGTTTTTGCCAACTGTAGTTTTGAAATACATCATTGTTTCTTCTAAAACCTCCATCCACTCTGACAAGCTCCAAATAGTGCTATAATCCTGGTATCGAGGATATGCACGGCCACATATGCCATCGATTATTTTATGAAGGAACTGAAACAACGTAATACATAACTTAAGAGCATAATTCTATCCCAGTTAATGTACACCAGCTATAGGACTGATCAGGTGATTCAGTTATCACTCGTACTGTCTCAGTGCTTCGAGTGCAGCCAATGCACCATTCTAAAAAAAAATCATAAAGAGGTAGTCCCTGAATATGAACTGTCCCCCCACCTCTCCCAAAGTCAATCCACAAGTTTTGCCACAGAAATAACAACATGATTCAGATTCACCTTGGACTTACTTTCGGACTTAATAGTTTTGTGCGCTACTATTATGTACTGCTGAGCAGCAAAGCTGCCACACCGAAGGGCACCTCAGTCATCTCAGCACTGGGATTGCCAGGACGCAAAGCGCAACTCAAAGTGCTGATCTTCACTTCTGTGCCTGTGGGTCTCTAATCTCCCAAACCAGTGTTCTCTAGCACCGGGGCTTCTTAGCCTGCTGTAATAATTTTGAGCACCGCAGTGAGGCAAATCCACCCAGTTCGCTGCTTCACCACCTGGAAATCGCGGGAGCCTGTCTGGGAGCAGCCGGGAGCTCCGCACGGAGGCCACCCCCCGCAGTGCCAGCTGACAGCCCTCGGATGACTTGCGCTGGAAGAGCTCAAGGCTACTTCCAAGCATTTAACAGCAAAGCGGGTGCACACACACACACCCCCAGCGTATTTTGAGCCCGTACTTTTGGTTTCGTTCTGGGGAGGCCCTGCGAGGCGGGCGGGGGCTGTCTCTTATACAGAATAAGGAGGAAAG